AATGTCGTGTAGCCTTTGTTTCTTGTTTGCCATCTCCTGAGCTCCCTTACTTCAGAACAATAGGATATTCTCTTCTTTTTCCTTCAACACCCTGATCCTCTTCTCTTTCGACGCAGATCCCTGGAACCACAATTTCTGGCAACGAAAGCGCGACTTGGCTTTCAGCAAAGCTAGTCTATTCTCAGTCCCAGAGAACGCGTTTCTGAACAATTCACCTGGCTCTCTCGTCTATTGTCTGTTTCGTCTGTCGGAACGCGGCATGCGAGCTGGGTCGAGTTGTTGTGCCAGAGGAGGTCGCGAGTTAGGTGCCGATGAGGAGGAGCTATACTGGCTCCATACGATGTCATAGGCACCATACTGCGGATGCGTAGATTCTTCTTGCGGCCATGGGAATGCTCTCAGGTTGCCCGTCTGTAGATTTCGTCGGTCTTCCGCGCTAGAGTCTGTGTCGCATAAAGATGCGGGGCCGGAGTGGCCAGCACTTCCCGTCCCCAGATGAGGAGAAATAAAGGACTGAGCCTGATTGAGAGGGTCGTAGACCGCGTACGGTGAAGCGGTATGCCCCTGACAGCTTGTCGGCAGAGAGGTTGTTGAGTTTGTCCGAGGAAATGCTGGGTGAAAGTGCAGAGACTGGTTCGACGCGTAGCTTTGCATGTTAATGGCTACGCTACCAGAAGGTGGAGTCGGGTCTCCTGGAAGCCATGGTTGCTGGCTTTGCGGGACGTGATCGTCGCTTGGAAATCGGGGCCCTCTAGTCTGTACATAGGCCGGTTGAGACGGCACACTCATTGAAGCTGCGGAATCCACCCTGTACGGCGGTTGTTGCGCATCTTCTGACAACGCACCATAACTCTCGCTCGGGGAGTTGGATGCCGTGTCATGAGCAGAGGCTGGGTCGGATCTTGCTTGATGTCCTATTGCAGGAAAGGGCCTCGAGAGATCGAGGGAGTCTGGTCGCCTTGCTGTCATGATGCTATCGAGAGCGTTCACTGCGTGCCCCTGCTTCCTGCCCGCTGCGGCGTGAGCCTGGAAATCACGTCCGTCCCCATGATCAAGGACATCCGTTCTCAAGTACTGGTCGACTTGACGATCGCCCAGGCCGACTTCACCGAGAAGCTGTCGAAGTTTCTGGTTCTCCTCTGCGACTCGGCGTGCAGCTTGCTGAACCTCTGCTGAAGCCTCTATGCCCTTGAGTTGGCAATCACGAAGACGCTGCTCGAGTTCCTGGACGTACTCTTTCTTGCGAGCTCGCGAGCGGCGTTGATTGTCCCGGATGCGGTTCCTTTCTCTTTCCTGCAGCAAAAAGATTGGTAAGTTGTTTCTCGCGTAAATCAGAGCAACCAGTTGTTGGCCTGGGTGTTTGTCAGAAGTTAAAGATGTGAGGTACTGACCGCCTCCATTGACACTTGACTGCTTCAGTATGGAAACAACAGAAATGTGACAGGAGCAGTTTCTGACAAGTAAAAGGAGCTATGCTCGGGATTGAGGGGGGGGGGGGGGGGGGGGGGGAAACGGACGGGGGAGTCCCTTCCAGATGGGCACGAATGAAAGCCAACCAGGTGTCTCAAGATATTGGGCATCTACCAGATGCAGAAGGTAGTGGGGTAGAAAGCCTTAGCTCACGTTTGTTGCATCCGAGACGAAGCTCGAGGATGGGAGCAGCAATATGAACTAGCGGGCATTGAGAGGGCCAAAAGACTTTAGGTAAGGCATTTTTCTGCACGCAAAAGAAAGCGTCAAAGCCGGCAAATCATCAGTAGCCTGAAGAGATTGACACTACACTGCGAGTGGAGGACTACCTGCCTGACATGGCCGAGGCTGGTCCGACGGAGTGTGGACAAGGATGCTGGGGTTAGCTGGGCTGGGGTCATCTTCTAGCATACTGCGAGACTAGAGCCAGCCCGTGCCGCTAGGCGGTATAAGGAGACCACCGACCATGGAGGAGGCCCGGAAACCGGGACATCTGGTCGTCAGATCAAGGTTCAGGCCCGAATAGTCTCGCCTTCGCCGATGGGTTTTATCGAATAGCATCATGAAGGTGAATAGCTGAAAGAGACAAGGCAATGTAGATGGATGCAAGATCAAGGAGGTGACAAAGGAGCGGCTGGATCTGGAGGCGAAGTAAGGCCTCGGAAGTGCTTGGAAGGAGAAGTAGATGAGGCCAGAAGAGTATGAGCCTCGGGTCTGGCACGAAAAGCTTGCAGACAAGCTGCACGTCTGGCCAAAAGCAATCGCCTCTCGGTGGAGCTGGTATGAGAAGCTAGCTGAATATCGCATGCCAGGGGCGAATGAAGTCTGAAGGGGCCGACTGTTTTCGTCACCAGAATCGGATTATGAATCAGATTCCGCAAGAAACGTTACTCTTGAACTGTTGTAAATGGTAGTATCTCGGTCGCAATCCAGGACATCGGTACTCCTTTGAGTAGGAATAGGAGAAGGATTTTCTTGACACAGCCCCGCCTTGGCCTTAGAGGTTTTGGACAGCAGCATCACCGACGAAACGGTGATTACATGAATTGTTTCTTCTGAACATTGAGTTTGGGATGACGAAAATACGACCAGAAGCTCCTAGGACCTGACCACGTCGCTACTCCTGCTCAAGCCGGAGAATCCGCAGTAGCTTGAGGATGAGGTGGAAGTAGAGCTCAAGAATGCAAGAGGGATGTTTGTGGGCACTCGGGAAGATGAACAGCCATCTTGGGGGCGAGACATGTACTTAGGCAGGCCAACGAGGCCCGGCACAGCATGGGTCTACTCTGGGGAACCGAGACCTGGGCAGTGGTAGATCCTGAATCCCAGGTGTTTGGATTTGTTTGGCCGTTCCGGTTCGTTGACGGGAACTCTAGTGCCCGTTCTGCTGCGAGGCATCGGTTGGCTTGGGTGATTCCATAAATCCAAATAGGTCGATGATCTGTTCTCTGTGGAGACGTGGTGACAAACTCGACGGGCGAGCTTGCGTAAGGGGGATTGCCCCATGCAGCAGGAAGAAGAGTCTCCCGGACTATCATTGTTTTGCAAAGCCCGCACGACAAGCTTACAGGCTGCAGCAGAGATGAAGATGTCGTCAACCCAACGACGGACGATGCACAACGAGACGCAGGACTCTGTCCCTGGGTCAATGGAGGCGGCGGTGGCGACTGGCTTGAGAGATATCCATATAGCAGAAGACTAGAGGCTTTTCCGTGTTGGAGAGTGTCCAGAATAATCAAGAATTCGTTACGTCCCCGGTCAATTGGATTGGAGGGAATGGCTCCCCTGTCAGATGGTGGTGGTATGATGCAACGGTATGGCCGCTCATGACGATTAGAATAGTCAGGTGTGGATTCACGGTTCGACCGATCAAGAAGAAGCGGCAGGGCCGTTGGGGGTTGGGTTGGACGTCGGAGAGAGGTCAGGCAGCGTGGTAGGCACGGCGGTTCGTCGTTGTCTGTCTCTGCGGGCTTCTGGGCGGCTTGGATCGTGGTTGGCGGCTGGGTAAGCGGCTGCAGGGTTTGGTTGCTGACCAGGAGCAGCTCCCAGGGGGAACCCTTCAGGGTCTGCGTCGTCCTATCTCTTGGGTGCCTTTTTGAAGTATGAGGTGCGTACATCCTCACAGGAAGGCACCTACATAGTAGTCACGTAGTATATACAGACGCTGCAAAGCAGTTCACTAGACAAGGGGCGTCCGGCAGGCACACTGGCACAGCATGTCGATTACGGTATGGACTAGCTAGACGTTCCATGCATGTCTCATTTGGGAGGCAGAGCGGGATGAGTTGGGGTTGCAGTGTGCGCGTGTCGGTGATGAGCGACAGATGCGGGCCGGATAGAGCACCCAGGCTCAGACGGGAACCTATGAGTAACCAGTCGGGTGAGAGACAAAGGATGGAGCATGGAGGCGGAACGAGGGAGCGAGAGAGATGTACAGGGGCTCTGGGGCTCGGACTCGAGACTCGGTGGACATGAGTATCGAGGAAAAGAGAGAGAGAAAGACAGAGCATAGTTCTGGTTGGTGAGGTTAGCTGCTGGGTATTTAGTCGGAGAAGGATTGCTACTTGATTACCTACCTCTATCCAGGCCAGACTAGACCAGACCAGCCGTTGGAGGCAGCCACAAAACACCATGACCACGGGCCGGGGGTGCCATCTTTGCTCTAGCTTGCTCTAGCTGCCCCGGCCCCGGTTGGAGTGATGCTGGGTTTTTGGGACCCCACGATCGCCGGGCAGGGAAGACTGGGGGGGGCTCAAGACATCCCAAGACAAGGGCGCACTAACGCTGTCTCGCCGTTTCCTGGCCCGTTTGGCGTTAACAGCATGGAATCACCCGTGAGGTAGCACTTCCCTACTGACCGAAGGGGCCAAGACGCAGCGTTAGGTACCTAGGTTGGTAGGTGGTAACCTAGGTAAGCAAGGTGCTTAGTAACTAAGGCACGCACATCCGAGCCTTGGCCGCCCGCGCCTACCTTACCTTACACTAACCTTTACCTCCGGGACCCACATAGTTATTTCCAGTAGGGAGGTCCACTTGGCGTGCCTCTCCACCTCTGCTTAGGTAGGTAGCACTCACCACCAGGACAGGACCTGGGCTTTCTTCTTCCCTTCCACATGCACTGAACTCCGGTGCACTCCACCATCGCATCCACGTCCGTCGACGTATCCATCCCGGTATTCGTCCACCTCTTAGTGTACATGTCACGCATCTTTGACGACAATCCTTCTCGTTTGCTACGTAACGAAAAGACGTCCGGTCCACTATTTCGGGTCAGCTCTCAGCAGCACAAGGGCTTCGAGAATGCAAACGGTGCTGAGGCGTCGCCGCCGCCCATACATGCCATACGCACCCACGCAGCAAATGACGGCTTGAAGATTTCATTCTTATTTCATCTTTTGCCTCTCTTCCCGTCTCCTGTCTCGGTCTCAAGAAAGGGAAAGAGAAACAAAAAAAAAAAAAAAAAAAAAAAAAGGAAAAAGAAAAAAAGGGCGGCTCTCGCCTCTGCCACCTCCGACCTCGCCCTGGCTGGTTCAATCAACTTGGAGAACCGCACTGCATTGGCCTGCCTTGTGTGCGCCCATGGCGTCCTGGCCTGCCTCGCAGCCTCCCGGGTGCCTTCCGCTGCCACTCCATATATGCATTAGCCCTGCTATCACGCTTCGTCTGCAGCCAGGCGGCATCCGACTGCCAGAGCACCTGATCCTTCCGCTCCAAATTTTGCGATTGCCTGGTCTTGCCGGCCTGCCCAGCCTGCTACCGAGTATTGCTTCAGGCACTCGGGAATCGTCTCGAAACTCGTTGCTGAAGGCCCAGCCATCACTTTTCACTTCCGCCCGACCGCCCATCGACCTCAGCTGATGGTCAGAACACACAGCTCCCAGGTGGCCAGCCCATGGAAGCCTGCCTCCGCTGTAACCGTCAAAGCCTTCCGTCGATGCCAATTTCGGCGTCGTGGGTCGTCTATTCCTGGCAAAACATTCAGCAGCACACATGTGATCTAGGGGGGTGGAGGAAGCACAGAAAAAGAAACCAACCCCCAAAGAGAGGACCTGTCGGCTGCCATCCTCGTCTTGATGATGCCTACGCGCAATCCGAGACTTTCTACACCATGTGTCTCACCCAACAGTCGTCTCTTCTTTGGACATCCCACGCCCGTCTGTTAGGTTTGAGCTGCTCCGCTGGTCCGCAGCCAACCGGCTGTGCGCTCGGTACTCGATTTCTTTGCGGACCCTCGTCCGGTCACTTTTTACCAGCACGTCAGCCATGCGCTGGTGACCTTGATGTGGTACTCGTCAAGCGTAATGTTTTCCAAGTCCGCCTTTCTTTGTATCAAGAGACTGGCGTCAGAAGGACTGTTGGATGCGAGAAAACGGGCTCTTGCCTGCACGAATCGACGCTCGCAAGCCTGTAATCGTGTCTGAACAGCTATCCTGAGCGCATCCTTGTAGCATACGGCGCAGCGGTCTGGTATGTGGCCTCCGTCTGGGATCGTGGTAGGTATCAGGAAGATTTCCTCCCTTGTGACGTGGCGTGCAGGTACTCCATGTCCACACTGGCCGTAAGTGAGCTCGCAACGGCAAAACGGGCAGCTGTTGTTCTCTCGGAGCCATTTTGACAGACATCGAGCTCCTGCCAAATGCCCGCAAGGCATGATCAAGGGGATGCTGTCGGAATGCCTCCTTCCGCTTTCGATCTCAGTCTGCTCCTGAAAAGCCAGACGACTGTATCGGCATATCTGGCAGATCAAGTCTTCCGGTTTATCGATCAAAAAGGTGACCTTGGGACTGGGAAAGAAGCATCTTCCCACTTCAGGGGCTGTAGGATCTTGGGGCCTGAGCCAGCTGCTAACAAGGGGCAGAAACGTCTTTTTCAGCCACGAGTCTTCCTCCCTTTGCCGTGCTCTATTACGTCTCGTTGAAAGGTATCGTTTTTGAACCTTGCTAATCCCTGGTACGGTGACCATTGTGCCTGGTTCAGGGGCGCAGTAGGTTGTTCGATTGGTGCAAAGTCGACTCAATTTGGGGCGGTGAATGGCTTGCCGAAATTGTGCTCCAGTGCGCGTTTGTTTCGAGATCTCTTGCAGAGGCCCTTCTCGTCTGTGGTTATTATATTACCTCCCGAGATAGGGCAGCGTCTTCGACTTGGAATCTCACAATCACGCTGTTCGACGAACAACGGATGTGCAAAGATTCCCTTCACCATATCGATACTGACCCCTTGATCGATGCTCTTTTAGACTCGAAGTAGAGGCACGACAACAAAGCCAAGCACCTATCAAAGACTTGAGTACCTTCTGTACAGCTCCGACTGTCGTCAGGTCAAGGCGCCCAGGGCGTCGCAGCGGGATGCTGCAACTGCGTAGCCTTAGAAGTCTAAGCCAACAGAGAATCATAAGGATACTTCTGCACGTCTCCGAAGATGATCGCTATCAGCATCACACCGTGTACGCTGGTAATTGAGGTCACATTGCACGGCTTGATCTTCAGGGACCTGTCCTGGAGCACAACATGAGCCACGGACAATTTCTAGTGTAAACTCCACAAATTTCACGGCCACGGCCTCGGATCCCGAACTCGAGATCTCAATGCGTAATGAATATGGCACCGAGCTCTGATGATCAGTATTTCATACCATCTGGCATCGGCCGTGATAAATTGTGAGAGTTGCCCCTCGCGCTGATGTCGAGCGATTTCGATAAGACTTGTAGCGCGTTTAAGGCACGGCTACTTGGCTTGATAATATCGTGAGCTTTGAGAAAGAGGATTAGTATGGCATCATTACTTATACTAGAGGACTGTTTGAGCATCGTTGGCCGTCTGAGCGAAGGATTGAGCCCCACGACCGCACTGAGCAGCCAGCAATCTTGCCCCCTATTGCTTCTCCCCGTATTTCTCAGGATTGTGGGTAACAACATAAGTCTTCAGGTCTTCTCCTTCGCCGACAGTAGGCCAGAAGCTCACATTCGCTGCTCGTTGCTGCATGCTTCTATTTTCAGGAGGTTGACGGGAGACCGATGCCACGATCTTTGACTTAGGCACCACCAGCTAGTTACAAGCTTTGCTGGCTCCAGTATGCAAGTGTTGCTACATCGATATTGAGGATTCTCCCCGAAGCCACCCTTTGCCAAATTTGACTCCTCGGAGTACCTTAAGGCCTACGGCGTACCCAGCACTCTTCCGGTGTGTGCATTGGTGTGATGACAGGAAGCAAGACACGACAATGTCGTGTACCACCGCTAACGCAGAGACAGCAAGAAATCAGCCGACGGTTACATGCGATGGATCTCTCCTGCCTTTCACCTTGAGGCTGAGGGGCAATGTAGTGAAGCCTGACGTCCGTTGGGGGGTAACGTTGACAGGGATGGATCTGTCCGCTGTTGGGCAAGCTTGCTCTTGGGGATGCATACCTGGGTCACGAGAGTCCCAGGGTTCTTTGGACCCATGGATGTCTAGACCTTACGGAGGCTGCAATAAACCGTTCAATGTTTGAGACAAACGAGTGCGCCTCCGCGGACTACGGGCACCTAACCTCAGCCAACCCCCTTTTCCACATGGACAGGCTGGGTGAGGGATTGCTTCTGCCTGGAAACCCCTGTGGATATTAGCTGAATAGCCATGAGCTTCTCTAATATGACATTAGGGTTGAAGGCCTCAATTTTGAATGAGTGCGAAAGCACAACATGATGCGAGGCTGTCGGGCAGTTGGGCAACCGATCTCTGGAGGTCTAGATCTTTGGTCTAGTGCTTGCGCATCAGGCCAGCCTGTGGCGAATCTAGTCTAGAATCAACAGCACGGTCTGGAATTCCCACAGAATGATCTCCAACAACACTTGGACGGGGCTCTGCGAGCGGCTCCATCGGCATTCAGGTCAATCCGAGCTTGCCAAGATGTGCCTGCTGATGAGGCGCACTCTTAGTGTGTGAATGATTTTCGCGCTCTTCTGTTGAGAAGCAAAAGGTTCTTGTGACTCCCCTCAAGTCCTTTGGTTGAAAATGTTCGCTTCCGTAGAAAACCCCATCCCATCTCATCCGGGATTAAAGGAGCCGGCTCATGTCCCGAGATACAATTTCTGTCTGGGGCTCCTGGTTTGACTCCTGCTTACACCGGGATCCAAGGCTCTGAGGGTATGGACGCCAACCGCGGACGAGAATCGCCACGCGGTGCAGATTATGTTTTTCGAAACCCACCCAGTGATGTCAAACATGCCTGGTGCCAACTTGCCAATCATCGGTTGAAAGCTGTGGGGATGGCTTTGTGTAACCCCAGAAGCTGTAAATTTACCGTCGCGTGGATGCTCAATGCAGATGATCATGAAAACCTGATATGTCCGATTGCTATATACCTTGGCCCCTTGCGAGATGCTCTAACTTGAAGCGCAGCTCATGTTTTGGTTCTCATACACATTCGTCCCCAGCGTTCAACCCGGGGGTCACCGGGGACCTTGTCAATGCACTAGAGAATGAAGGCAAATTCAGTGCAGAAACAACGAAACCGGTGTTCGTCCGTATCAAAACAGGTCTTCGTCCGACTCGATAATCCCATGGTTTGAAGGGATGAAGTTGGTTTGAACCATCTGGTCTGAGCGCCACTGCCGAAGAAGCTGAGGCCATCACCAGCCAGATCCGATGCTTTGGTGCAGCCAAAGGATGTCCAATCAGACGAGGAGGAAAGGAGATACTTCGGCAAGGTGGGGGGGCCCGCGACGGCACTGACAAGGTGCCCTGCGACCGCCAACAGCAGGCGGGACACTGTCACGCTGAACACCGAAGAACGAAGAATCCGGACAGGATCCATGGATGTCTTCCCGAGGTCAGCCGTGGCGCCCGCTCCACTAACCCGTTAATTCGGCACCTACAAGTATCGCCGGCAGGCATAGCGTCATTTTTTAATGTGCTGGGCGACGAAAGCGCTTCTGTGGCTTCCACATCGTCCCTTTTGCATCTTCTCGTTCAGCCAATGCACCGAGAGCGCGGACCGCATAACATGTCTCTGCGCGCATCGATTCTTATAGAGTTCTGTTTTTGTTGATCTGCCCGCAGCCCACCATGCGCGGCGTCGCTGCTTCTTCCTCCCTCCCCCTCCGTCGCCTATGCCTGTCGCCGCCGCTCGCCCGAAGCCTCCAGAGACAGCCCACCCTCCGCCGCACACTTTGTACAGCCTGTCTGGCGAGCAGGACGAGTGCCAACAAACCCAGAGGCACGGTCGCGCAATGTTTTCCGGCGCCGCAATACGCGAGCTATGCTGGACAGAGAAGGGCAGCGTCAGCGGTAGCAGCGGCAACAGAGGGGAACAACGGTGGGTTCATAGAAGCCGAGGGGAGAGGCGCAGGAGCTAAAGGGGCAACAGTGACGAGAGATGACTTTGGTCCGATCCAGGAGTACGATCGCCGGGTGGACAACGGCATCTTGCGAAACGACGAACACCAGAGAGGTGAGAAGGTTTGCGGCGCAAAGGCTAGGATCACATGCTAACGCGATCGGCTGGGCGACAGGCATCATTCAGAGCCTTCAACACCTTCACGACGAGCTCGTCAACTACCAAGCGCCAGCAGTCGTGCACCCGACTCTCGATTCCCTGAAAACTGCGAAATCAGTGTTTGGATCCTGGTTCGGCGGAGGCAAAGCGCAAGCCGCGATTGGCGCCATTCCGGCGAATCTGCCCCGCGGGCTCTATCTGTTTGGCGATGTCGGCAGTGGCAAGACGATGCTTATGGACTTGTTCTATGACACCCTGCCAAGCTCCGTCAAGTCCAAGACGAGAATCCACTTCCACAACTTCATGCAAGACGTCCACAAGCGCCTTCATAAGATGAAGATGCTGCACGGTAACGATGTCGACGCTGTGCCTTTTGTCGCCGCCGACATCGCGGAGAAGGGCAATGTCCTCTGCTTCGACGAGTTCCAGTGTACAGATGTAGCAGATGCTATGATTCTTAGGAGGTGAGTTTTGAGCGGCACAAGCTAGGCGTGGGAACTGTGGCCGACTGACCGTCAACAGATTGCTCGAATCACTCATGTCGCATGGCGTTGTACTGGTAACCACATCGAACCGACACCCCGACGAACTATACAAGAACGGCATCCAGCGCGAGTCTTTCGTTCCGGCAATCAAGCTACTCAAGAACCGGCTCCACGTCATCAACCTAGATTCTCCGACAGACTATCGCAAAATCCCAAGACCCCCTTCTGGCGTCTACCACACGCCGCTGGACGCACACGCAAGCTCCCACGCCGAGAAATGGTTCCGCTTCCTCGGCGACCCCGATTCACCCGAGCCTCACCCTGAGGTTCAGAAGGTTTGGGGCCGCGAGATCCACGTGCCGCGCGTGAGCGGCCGCTGCGCCTGGTTCACCTTTGACGAGCTCATCGGCAAGCCTACGTCCGCCGCCGACTACCTTGAGCTGGTGCGCTGCTACGATGCATTCATCGTGACCGAAATCCCGGGCATGACTTACCGCCAGCGAGATCTGGCACGTCGTTTCATCACCTTTATCGATGCCGTGTACGAGTCGCACGCCAAGCTTGTTCTTACGACGGAGAAGCCTCTGACGGAGCTCTTCGTGTCTCGCGCGGAATTGGAAGAGTCGCTAGGCAAGCAGGGCAAGGAAGAAGCTGGACAGGGCGACGGCGCGATGAGTCATCTGCTCGAGGATTTGGATCAGAACATTGATTCAATCAAGGGTCTCTCGGGTCTCTTTTCGGGCGACGAGGAGGCATTCGCGTTTGCACGTGCGCTCTCTCGTTTGAGCCACATGGGCAGTCGCGAATGGGTTGAGCGAGGCATGGGTCTGGAGGATCAGGGTGGTAAGAAGGAGCGCGACGACTGGGCAAAGGTACGGAGTCGGCAAATGGAAGACAGCATGTGAGCAAGGGTGCATACGATGCAAAGCATACGCCCGCTGGGTCGCGGGCTTGGCGACATTTTGACATTTGCCTCTTATCATGTATCAAACTCTTTTCGTTTTCTAGGCATATGGTTATTGGTTCAGTCGTGAGCCCGCATCTGGAGGACACTTGCATACCCCGGTCGACTGAGGAACTCCGATATAGATGCTATTACATGAGATGTATTTTAGTTTGCGTTGCCTTGTGACCGGGTGTGATAAGTCGTTGTATATAACATGAATAACTTCTAGGCAATTCTGGTGCAGTGCCACTTGAGCCGCTCGCATGCCGAAACATCATTAGTGTTTAATACCATTTGGACCAGGTGACTAGTAGATGCCAGGTAGGATAACCCACTTCGTCTCCTTCTTGAACTGATCCCACTGCTCGCCGTACCTCTTGGTGCAGTACTCGTTCAATACCGGCACGGCGCGCGAGACAAAGTCGAATGCCTGTCCAACACCCATGATGGTACCGCCGATGAAGCCAGACGCAGCCATGCAGTAGCCCGCGCGCCAAAGAGCATAACCACCATAGTTGATGTGACGCGCCCAGCTCCAGAGGCCCTCGCGAATGACCTTGCCCTGGTTCTCAGGCTTCGCCTTGAAATGCTTGCGCTGCTCTTCGGATGCGGTCTCGAGGAACATGCCGATGCCGAACAGGGCACTTCCGAGGACGGCCTGGTACGGCAGAGAGGTGCCGGGGAAGTAGAGAGGAGAGGCCAAGACGGAGGTCGAGGCGGCGAGGAAGAGTAATGAGTTGGCGCTATTCACGAGTGTGTTGTAAATGCTCACGGGCACAGCCGCAGAGGGGCCGAACTCTTCAGCACAAACACTGACGACCCAGTACGCCTGCTTGGCGAAGGAGCCAACAGACATGCCGAGGAGGATCAGGTGCGGGAGGGGAAGGTTGAGGTTGTCGATGAGGGCGATGCCCGTGTTGGAGGCGGCAGTGAGGGGCAGAACGACATTGAGACCGAGTTTGGAGAGGAGGGAGGCGCCCCAACCACCAGCGATGAGCTTGTATTGGAGTATTGGATCAAGACCGCGAAGGCCGACGAAGGTCAGGATGCCTGGTACGCTGGTCCTCTTGACCCCGCGTTGGATGAGGTCGAAGGGTTTGTCTTTTGGCCGAGAGTCTGCCATGGTGTCGGTGGTTCTCAATTGAGTGACGAGGGGCCTGTGGGTCGAGGTGAACTGCAGGAGTATTCTGAAGTAAATCCAGAGGAGGAGGGTATGTTTATTAGGAGACGTAGGAGCTCTAATAAGGCTAGGCTACCAATAGACGTGGTAGCGTCATGCATGACACTGCTCCCGGCATGACGGCGGCTGCTAAAGTCCCTCTATATACGTGCGGGGATCTGGATTGGGGAAATGCGATGTTTCCCCGTAAGATCATCGCCTTCTTCCGGACGAAGGTTTGCTGTCCGCGCCCAAAGTCCGCTCCCCGAACCTACCATGTTTTTTACAACCCATACAGGGACTTTATGGTAGCTGCCACGTCCGAAGTTAGATGTAGGTTCAGATGAGCTCGAATTGGTTAGCCGGGCATTTGTTTTGGAAGGGATTGGAGCAATACACGCTGAAGGGCCGGGTATCATGTTCCCGCATGCTTTCCCTGTAGGATCCTGGGATAGCCGTGCTTGGGAGTCCATCTACATCTCTTCTACTGGCACTATACTGCTGCTGCCCAGGTCCCAAGTTCAGGATTGTTCAGCTGCGTACCAAATTTACCCAATTTCACCTTGGCTCATGAGCAACCTTGAGACCCAATTCTCAACAGGGCAAGGCAGTCCAATCCGAGTGCGGCCATTTGTACAAGCCATGGCGTGGTGCGATCGATTGTTCTCAAGGAGCAACACCACTGGACTCCAACACATGCGACCACACCCATTGGAGAACTCGAGATCCCGTCCGCTCTCTCATAGATAAACTAATGAGGGCCAGAGTAGTAGTCCGGTCGGAGACGACGGGCGAATGCCTGGTGTTGCATGTTTTTTTGCGACGGCGAAACGCTTGATGCTGAATGTTAAGCGGCGCCAGACAAGCCTCTGCTGTGGGTTGGTTCGTCTGAAGCTGGAGACGTCGCTTGGCCATGCGCGTGTCTCACGATGCTCTTTTCCCCATCGGGCTTTATCTCGGCATTCGCGGCAAATATCGAGATCGCGGGGTGAGTTCCGTGATCTCTGGGTCAAGCAGCATGTTGGAGGCCCGGCGTATTTGCTGACAGCTTCAGCTTGATGCAGCAGCGGCTGGGCTGCATATCAACAAATGGGACAGAAGAAAGCTCCCGCGCAGATGACGTGATGGTTTCTGGGTAGCTTCAGTGTTCCATGCGGATACCCGAGGTAAGGCGATGCCTCTTATCTAGACCCCTGCATTACCGATAACACTGGCGTCGTTCCCAGGTAACGACACTGGAGGAGCATGATGCGAGGTGGGTCTCTCGTGACCAAATATCCAATGACTGGCCTTGAATCTAGCGGCACCTGGGTGATGTGTTGCAGACAGGGGAGCTTCAGTTCCACACATTGGGTCCTGCGTAAGCTGTTGCAGTGGCGTCCCCTGCCTAGCTAGGTACCTACCTATTCGTACCTATTAAAGCAACCCGCCTCATGACGGCGACTCCTCTTCCCTCTGACATCCACCCGCCCACCTCATCATCCCCAGACTGTACGACTTGATCAACTACATCAATCCAAAATGAAGGTTGCCAAAGCTTCGCTTCTCGCCATCTTGGCGCACTCGGCCGTCGCCCGCTTTGTTGCCGAGGACGAGATCAACCGCGTCCAGTTGTATCCCGCCGGCTCCGAGCCTGAGAAGTACCTGATTGAGCTGGCCCAAGGTGATACTCGCTGGGTCACCGAGGAGGAGAAGTGGGAGCTCCGCCGGGTAAGACGACACCGCATGCATCCCGTCCTTCTGGTGTACTGACGTGCAACTCTGCAGAATGGCAATCGTTTCTTCGATATCACCGATCACCAGGACTTTGGCAAGACCGGCCTGCGCACCAGGGCCAAGGCCAAGCCCGTCTTCCCCGAGAAGTGCACGCTCCAAGACAAGGTCAAGCCCTTGATTAAGGACCTTGACAAGAACGAGATCCAGAAGAACCTCGAGAAATTTACCAGCTTCCACACCCGATACTACAAGTCAGACTACGGCCGCCAATCGTCCGAGTGGCTTCTCTCCAAGATCAACTCCATCATCAAGGATGCGGGTGCCGATAAGCACGTCTCCGCCGCGGCGTTCCCCCACACATGGCAACAAAGCAGTATTATTGTTACAATTCCGGGCAAGTCTAACCGCACAGTCGTCATTGGTGCCCACCAAGATTCCATCAACCTTTGGCTGCCATCTATCCTGGCCGCGCCCGGCGCCGACGATGATGGCAGTGGTTCCATGACCATCCTCGAGGTCCTTCGTACCTTGCTCAAGTCCAAGGACGTCGTCGAAGGCAAGGCCGACAACACGATCGAGTTTCACTGGTACAGCGCCGAGGAGGGCGGTCTCCTTGGTAGCCAAGCCATCTTCAAGTCATACGAGCAGGACGGACGTGATGTGAAGGCCATGCTCCAGCAGGACATGACTGGCTTCGTGCAAAGAACGCTCGATGCCGGCAAGCCTGAGAGTGTTGGCGTCATCACCGACTTCGTTGATGCTGGATTAACTGATTTCATCAAGAAGGTCATTGTTGAGGTATGTTCTTCCCATTGCTTCCATGACTCACGACATCATGCTGACAATATCAACAGTACTGCAAGATCCCTTTCACCGAGACCAAGTGCGGATACGCCTGCTCGGATCATGCTTCCGCCAGCAAGGCCGGCTACCCTTCGGCTTTCGTTATCGAGTCTGCCTTTGAGGACTCGGATCAACACATTCACAGCGTCGACGACCTCATCAAGTACCTCTCATTTGACCACATGCTTGAGCATGCCAAGATGACTCTGGGTCTCGTGTATGAGCTCGGCTTCGCTGACTTCCCCGCCCTTGAGAAGAAGAGCGAGACTGTCTCTGAGGAGCTGTAGGAGGCTCTTTAAGGCAGACGTGTGAATGAGCCAAGGTAGTCACGATATCCCAAATACAATAAATAGACGAACTTTTGAACACATCAGCTCCCTATGCCGTTACATAAAACGTATCCATCATATTATACATTATAGAGGCTGTCGTCGCAAGTAATTGCATATCCTATCTAAAATTGAAATATCGTATGCAACCTGCACAGCCTTCTCAGGACACTGGTCTTTTAGCTAATAGAAGTAATGATAAGGAGAAGACTACGTTTTATTAAGGTCCACATGAAGTGAACATTTCAAAGATCAAAAGGCAAAAAGTTCAGCTTGAACAGCCTATGAAAATCCCCAGGAGATTCTTACCAAGCTCAGGTGTAACGATGCAAAGGATTTTTCTAACGGCGGCAGAGCAAGAACCCACTGAAAGAGAGGGATTCGAATTTGCGCACCCGTGGCGTGGGACTTTCAGAGAAAAACTCGCATGAAAGCGCCTAGTAACCCCACTAGACCACGGGCTGTTGTGAAAGAGAAGGGCAAGATGTGAGCTATTAGGGTCGGGAGTTGGGAGTCGAGAGGTCGGGAGAGACCCAGGGTGGGGCTACGCATCTAGGTCGGCGGTGCCCATCTATTACCTAAGGGGGAGGGGGGGGTATGCTAGCAGAATGAAGGCAGTCTATTCACATTATATTGAAAATTTAGTACTATATTTACGCTTAATTATAAACTAATTATAAATAGTATAATACTATTATAAGCTATAATATTATATTAAAATACTTACTATAAAAAGTATAATATTAAAAGTATATTAAAATTAAAAAGAATTTTTCTCTTTTTACTTTTAAAGTAGTTATTAGTAATAAATTTTTAAAAAAAACGTAATAAAAATTCTTTTTATAATTTAAACTTAAGACTTTTAGAACATTTACTATAATTTTATAACTATAGTATATTATATTATTTAATAGAATTTAAGTAATAACCTCTAAAAATAAGCCTAGGTACTTACTTATAGGGCCTTAAGGAGGTACACCTACTTACTATAATATACTAACGCTTACCCAATATACTAACGTGTGAACAGAGTACTGAGGGAACATTACGTGCTAGGACCCCCCCCCTCCCGGGTAGGTTTTCACCACACTGCATTTGTGACGCTCACGTCCCATGTTGCAAGGACCTGACTAGGTATTACTGCCTGCCTTGGTAGACGTTGGCAGGACTCGCCCGTAAGGGATGCAACCTTGGCTGAACAACCCCGTCCGACCCATCTAGCCAGAAAGTTTGCGGGAAAATCCTTTGAAGGATTTTCGATGTTGATAGAGTCTGCTTGTAAGCCATTCGTCTTCTTCAGGGACTCGTTGAGGGCGCTGCATCCTGTGTGCCTTTCATTGCGCAGTCCAATTACTATCCATTGTACTATCCATTGTACTATCCATTGTACTATCCATTGTACTATCCATTGTGCAACAAAATGAATAAGAGAACTGGTGCGGAACACATTGAGTCAAAATGGAGGTGGTCAGGCCCTGATTGTTTCCTGCTGGTAAATATGTGTTCACCTCAAGGTGAGAGCCTCCAGGTACCTACCCAAGAAACGACGTTAAAATAAGACGCAGGGGCTTCCGGGTGCGGTTGCCTGCCTCAGCGCAGATCCCACGTGCTTAGACAGGCTAGATCGAGAGCCCCACCGCTCGGCGAGTGCCACTCACACCCTGGAGTACACTTCCCATCTCCACAACCAACTTCACCTCTCGCAACACACTGCCTCTCATAAGCATCGCCGCAACGTCCGACGTTTCTAGGTAGTATATCTACCTCGAATTGCTACAATCAAAAAAGTACACGGAAGGATAATAAGCCTCTTGGCAAACAAACCCGGCAAACACACTTCGGAGTACAGCATTGGCCACTTCGAGTCATTGCGCACGGAAGCTACGAAACATACTCTCTTGCGTTGACAACGCCAAACAAGTCAAAAAACCCCGCATCAAGAGGGCATCAACATGACAGAATCAGCTCCCGAGAGCGTTTCTAACGCCATCGCCACGGCTCCATGGAGCCAAAGACCGCCCAGCCCGCCCTACATCCCCATCCCTCTCACGTTTTCCAAGGGTGCCGACTCTGCACTGTTGCCTTCATTCGACAACGTGGACTCCATGCACCTGACGAGCGATGATCTCAGTATCATAACCCGCAACGTCAAACAAACCATCACTGACAGGTCGGTCGGCTGGAACTATGAAGCACGCCGCCAAGCACAGCCAATCCTCGATTTTCTCTACCTCGGACCGCTCTCTATTGCTCGCGATGCCGACTGGCTGGCGCAAAACGGCATTAGCATGATAATCGTTTCGAGATTCTCACAAGCTGCACGTTTTATGAGCGTCGACAAAGCCGCACTGTCACTCGGCATCAAGGTCGAGTATTTAGATGTAGCCGACAATTTCGAGTTGGTCCGAGGTTTTCCAGAGGTCGTGCGGAAAATCAACAACCACTTGCTCGAAGTCTACCATGCACAGGCGCTAGAGAGGCAGGACGGTCGCATGGTCATCGACAGCAACAACTTTAGGGGCGGGAAGGTCTTGGTCGTTTGCGAGACAGGCAATGATCGATCAGCCTTCATCGTTGCTGCATACATCATGACAGTCTACGGACAGCCCATGATTCCCAGCGTCCAGTTTGTCTCCGTGCAACGCTTCTCAGTCAACTTCGACGAGGAGAGCAAGAGGATGCTGCGGGCCTATGAGGATCTTCTCAATGCTCAGAGAATAGTATCTGATGCGACAAGACATGTCCCCAGAGCGGGCGAAAACGACGGCCGCCAAAAGGGAGGCAAGAGAGGCATAGAGGCTACGCTAGACGATGATGACAGAATGGAGGGAGATGGTTACGATGGATTTGTCGTCGACCGTGAGCGATATGAAGACAGAGCCAAGTTCGTTCCGTTCGTGGACCCAGGCCAGAAATAGATGTGCCGGTCAGTGAATATGTAAGCAACGCTTTTGGCGTTGCCGAAGGTGGGACAGCGGGGCGATGAAACATGGTTTTTGTACATAAATACTGCATTCGTGGGAACTGGAGGGCCGTTCGGTTTGCGATCATGGGAGGCGCCGGGGTAGTCAGTATACCCCTTTTTTCGTCGGCGAGGGCTCATTATTGAATATAGAGACTGGCTGTTACTGCTGCCAACAGTCTGCAGGGTATGCAACAGATGTGTGCTCCTTCAATCTCGCAAGATCCTCTTCGCTTTTTATGCTGAACATGGCATCTCATGGAAGGACACACGTGCTACTGGGTCTTCTCGCACTTGTCGACGTATGCTCAGTGATGCATTCCAAGCTGTTCGCCTACATATCGTATAGCTTTACTTGGGCTCGACTAGCTGCTTGTAATATGCATAGGAGCACCCTGTAAAAGGAGCCATGACGCTACAAGCAGGCTGGGCGAAGGGAACAACATCGCGATGCCCCAACCGGATCGGGGAGGTGAAGGGACGTCGTTGGACTTGGCTTGGAACCTCCACACCTGGCTCTTTGACGAAAACTTCACTTGGTGTCTTTGGGGTGTGTAAAAAATGCCCATTGTGCCATCTGGCGGCCGCACTTCTTCACCTCGACCAAGACCATTGGTTCTCAGCGAGGAGGAAGGAGCGACTCCTGCTAGCCCAGTCTTGCTCCTGCCTTCTCCTTCGTTGACCGGTTTTCGCGCGCACACAACACACGAAAACCGGTCAACCCGCAATCTTTTTCTCATCTCTTCTTCTCATCTCACCCACCCTTGGACTTTTCGTCCACCTTCCCTCCACCTCAACTTCCCTCTCCACTCCATCACCGTCGCATCACTCATCCCATCCTTTTGCTACCTTCAGCCAATATCACCATCATCCCTCGTTAGGTGGTGATAGCGGCAAACAGCATTGCTTCCAATTATCTTTCCTGATTATCTTACTCGTCTCAATTACCCTCCCTTACCTTCCTGCAAAATTCGTCGCATCAACATGGAGGAGCCCGATCATGGCAGTGACGGCAGACAGCTGCGTCGGTCAACCCTAGCGCACCAGCCCGGTCGCTATGCTGAGATGCTGGTGGCCGGAGTCGAGAGACCAGCTTTCACTGTTCCTGATCCTGTCTTCGACCCTGAGCCTGCTCGCCACTGCGCTTTCCCAACCATCGAGCTGGACCAGCACCCGGGACCCAGCGAGCAGTTCATTGAGGCAAGGGCCAGAGGAGACTTGCATGGAGACAATCATCTTCTCGTTCAATATTCAGACAGCGATAACGGTACGTTCCCCCGCCCCTCGACAATCCATAAGTTTTCCTAACGCAAAGCAGACCAGGATGACAACCAGGGTGAACGCCGAGCGCTGGTGGCGCACCTGCCCCCGCTGGATGCAGGAGATGATGTGATCATGCGCGGCATCGAGGAACAGAGGGAGGAGAAGAACGACGTACAGACTACAGGCGAACTGCGAACCCCCAAGAGAGGCGAAAGCTTCAAGGAGTTCTGTCTGGCTGTGACCAATGATCTGGACTGGGGATCGCCTGAGCCCGAGCCAGAGCCAGAGCCTCAGCAGCAGATTGACGAAGGTCCTCAAGGCGAACTCGAGTCAAGAATGGATGGCACGTTGCAGAGTGAATTTGATCCGGACTCCTGGGACAGCATCGGTACCGGGGCGCAATGGGCAATCCTGTCGACTCTCTGCCAAGCTCATAAGTTCTCAGTGGCCGTCCACCGCCTGAACCTTACGACAGACCAGATCACAACTTTCATCCAAACCTACATCAAATGCCATGAGGAGATTCAGGATTGGTGCAGAAAGATTGACCGGATCCCAGTATCTGATCTCATCCGACGCGCCGAAGACGGCCTTCACTCAGTGGATGAGTACGTCAATTTGGCTCGGCCTAGACTCCCCACGGATATACTCTTCCAGCACGAGATTGAGCTAGCCGGTGCGTTCTTGCGCAAGTCAGGCCATCCTGAGCTTGTTCACCTCATCGACAAGTGGC